ATATATATATATATATATATATAAACGGTGATGACATTTTTTATCGATATGATCTAATAAATGTAGCTATTAAACACCAATAGTAACATTATATCAGTGTTATTATTTATTATTTACTCAATAATGTAATTATACATACAATATGCGTTATATTATATTAATATTGTTGAGTGGAAAAGTATAACGTTTATATAATGTTACTGTTAGTTGATATTTTGGGTAATGTAAGAATCTGTCTTTCGAAGAATTTCGAGAAATTTTTTTTTTTTTTCGGCAATATTCATATCAGAAAATATTGATTTATTTATTGGATAGTAAAAGGAATGTTTGGACATTATTAGACACCTTTAATAAAAGATGTCATTGTTGTCGCTTCCCCATTCAAACAATACTCTAGTCGCGAGAGGAATAGGAGCGGTTCGGCAGACTGCAGCCCAACACGCGCACAATGCGCGTCCGCTCGTTCTTTGATGAACGCCCAGTTGCTTTCTTTCTACGCGCGCATAATGCACGCAGTTTGGTGCAAGCAGCACGTCCGCGTCCGGGAGATTTCTGCCACGTTGTTCTTGAAATAGGGAGCTACGTGAGCGCGCATGGGGGCTTAGTGGGACTTGTACAGATTCGTCACCGGACCCAGAACAGCGAGCGAAGGCTTCGCCTTTTACGTGGCAAGCATTTGTTTTGTTAGGGATTTTCTGCTGAGATAAACGAGACGGCTCTGCGTGGGAGACATGTTTTAGAGTACTATTCGCGTACATCGCTTTTGTGCAGTGAGAGTGTATGATTAATTTCGAGAATGATCTCAAACTCATTGCGAAGTTATAGAAACATTACCGTGGAATTATAATAATTACTATAATTCCGAAGTAATTTTTTTATAATTTTAATCAAAACAGTGTGTGTAAAGCTAACGTCTCACTTGATGGAAACTCATTAAATATTGAGTTCTGAGTTTATTTTTAACTACTCTCTAAATCTGAATCAGTGAATAATCACTGATATCAGTGCCAAGTATGTCATCTGGATATCAGTGAATGAAATGTGAGATCTCTAACTTAGCTGATCTTTATTATGTAAGCTAACTAATCTTTTTTAGTGCATAAATTAAATGAATATAGTATTGAAAAATTGAAATTAACATGCAAATGTCAATATTTTAGTCATATGATACTCAAACATTTTTCCTTTTTTAGTTAAATTTTACTGATTATCAGTGCCACTGAGAAATTAGTGACTGTCCACTGATTCTCTTTCAGATTTAGAGAGTATACATTCATTTTTTAAACAATTTTTATTACCTGAGAAAGGCGAATTAAGGGTATATGTGTGAGACACGCCGATTTCCGACAATTCTGCAAGATCTATAAAACTTACATCTATGATTCTGCCCCAACATAGGTAAACAAAAAGAATTTCGCGAATATACCTCTGATTTTAGAAGCTAAATCTCAACGTTTTGCACTCACTGTATGTTAAAGACGTATTTATCTTCTTGCTGATGTACCACTAAAAAACATATATTCGAAAAAGCGAATCAATAAAGAAAATGGCAAAATGCTCGTTAGAGACGTGAAATATTGCAGCGCGATTAGTGTAATCTGATTAGTACGTTCCGCGTAGCGCTTGGTACGTCGTTAAAGATCTTTCTCTTGCTATATCGGCTGTGTAAGCTTTAACAGGACTATTATTAAATATTGTTTAAATGAGCGATACCGAAGGATCATTATTTCCCGCCATGGCCGCTCACGTGGCCGCGTGTAATCCGCACGAAGTGAACATTAATCAAGTGTGATGGATCATGAGTTGTACACCCGCAACATAACATATAATACTGACTAATAACAGCGATTTTTAGCAGAATACAGCACATCATTCTTAACTTATATCTTAAATCAAAATCAAGATTGTAAACATAATACAAAAGAATCTTTGATATTTTATTTACCCCTAATCGGTATTCGCAGAATCTAGTGGACTCGTACACTTTCTTCAATTACGTTGTGAAAAATTATAACAACTGTTTTTCACAGTCTAACATAATCTTATCGAATCTTTGATCTTAAAATAAAAAAAAATGAATTAACTATAAACAAAGATACATTAATTTAAAGTATACTGGACTCGTGAATACCAGTTAAGGAAATTTTATAACGCATACCGATTGGTTGACATTTTAAGAAAATTATAATGTCAAATCATGAGATGGATCAAAGTTTGACATGTTTTATGTAAATAAGCTAGGATTAGAAACAATTTACGTACGACATCAATTCAGAAGTGAATAAAAATGTATGACAAGTTATTAAAGTTCTTTCAGCTACTAATCAATTCTCGAGTCATGGAAAAAGAAAACCCGACCGATTACTTCTTCCGTTGCCATTTTCACGACGCGATGATCAATTCATTATCACCGGTGCGGCGTAGTGTCTTTTATCTTTTGCACACTATTTTCTCTCTCTCTCTCTCTCTCTCTCTCTCTCTCTCTCTCTCTCTCTCTCTCTATCTCTATCTCTCTCTCTCTCTCTCTCTCTCTCTCTCTCTCTCTCTATCGTTCTGCCGCGGATAAGCTCGTCACATTTCTTCATGTGTCGCACGATGTATACGCGAGCAACCCGTTCAGGTGTGAGAACCGGCGCGACGACGAACCTGTTCACTGCATCTTTGCGTTGCATCTCCACGGTGTTCTGCAACTGGTTTCACGTTATGCTCTGTCAAAACCTGTCGATGAATGCGTTGCCTAGCAGAAAATGATGGGATCGGTACACGTCGCTTCGATTACACGTTTCTTTCTTCGTCTATTCTTTTTTCCTTTTTCTCTTCACGCAGCTCTCCCAACCGGAGAGATATTGCGTCGACATCGCGACATGTACACGAAAAAATAGTGATTTTTTTATGTATTATAATTACAACTGATATTTGTTCGTTATAATTACACACGCATATTACAGTAAGTTGTAATTGACATCTCTGATCGATTGGAGCTTATACATTTATCTGCCGCATGCAGTGGATATATCAGGAACGTTTCTTGTAAAACTAACTAAAAATTTATTACACATATGTAAAATTGTAATCTGTTTGCAGCAAGTATTTTTAATCAAGATAATACGTTCTCTTGTAATATTTTATTACGTTGACATTTAAAAAATTTTGAGAGTCAGTACTAAAATTTTTTTTTTTACAAGAAAAGACGAAATTAACGCATTTATTATTTATATTATAAATTATATAATCGTTCATTTTTATAAATAGGAAATAATGGTTAATAAATTTTTATTAGAGCTACAACTTTAAATCCATCTAATAAAAATCTGAGAGAGGAAATTCTCTCGGAAGATTAATGTAAAATTAGCTTTTCCTTCATGAATTTTCCGCATTAAACGAATTTATGAGACGCTAATGTACATCTCTGACCTCACAGGCAGACGCTTGTGGAATAAACATAGCTAGGCACTGAGGCTCACACTGATTTATCGACGCTACGTACCGATGTACCGATTCATCAATAAAAGGCACCAGTAGTCTCGTAAAACAAAACTAAAAGAGAATTAACGACTAGAACAGAATTTTAACGATGCACGGCTCTATTTCGGAATCTTGACAGCAGTTTAGACGATAACAGGGGTCTTCAGAAAGTCCACATTGCCTCGGTTTATTGGTGATTAATTATAATGACAGTTATACCTCTGTTAAATAATAGTACAATTTATCGTGTAAAACTTATGGTACATGTTTATAGTTCAAAATAAATAATATGACATTTAAAATACAAAAATATGTCTCTTATTATGTACTATTTAATTTTTTTATTCTAATTCAACAAAAATTTCCCGTTTTGATTTCAGCTCAGAGAAGTACGTACAGTCTGAATAAGAGCTTAAAAAATAGTGGTCTCTTTCCGTCCACATTCAATGTCGCCGCGAAAGCGGATATTTACGTTAACGCGACCTGCGGTGAGGAGGGTCCAGAGACTTTCTGCAAGCCCTCGGAATCGTCGAGATGCGCCGTCTGCGACTCCAGGAGTCCGGATCCTGGCAAGAGGCACAATATCAGCAACATCCTCGACTCGAATCCCGGAAAATGGTGGCAAAGTCCTACATTAGCGAGAGGCGATTATTACGAATACGTGACAATCCTCTTGGACCTTAAACAGGTATGTAGATGCTCAAGCAAGTAGTATGTAGGCCAAAAACTAATTAAACAAATTTTTAAACAAATAAATTTTGTGTAATAGTACTAATGTAATAATTCTTGAGACTTTAATAAATTTTAAAGGAAGATGAAATGATTTTTAAGCGATAATTTATGTTGATTCACACTTAATTTTTACACTTCTACTTTGTTTTCTGAATAGATCTTTTTTCTTCTATGGCCCATTACATCGCATTAAAGGTCCCTTTTATTCTAGTCCTTCGAAAAATTGTAAAACGACTTTCGTCCTATTGTTATGTACTCGTTTCTTGTATTATACTCTTCGATGTCGATTTATTTCGTTTTCTCCGTGCAGACAATGGTGAAATGGACAGAGAAAGAGAAAGATACAAGAAACAAGAGAATCGAAATTGGTTTGCGCGAAGTGAGACAGAGAAAGATACGTATAGGGAGAGATGGAGATGATAGAGAAGCTTTAGAGGATCCCTTTCCGGAAATTTACGTGCCGGCTCGCAGGTATGCCCCATGTAGCCCTTCGTCCTTTAACAAATTGCGAACGGCGGCAGAGAAAAACGTTTTAACGAGCACGGCGTCCCTTTTTTTGAGAGACTCTTAGTAATGAGGACGTACCGCGAAGTGGATCCGCAGAATGAAGTGCCGACGCGACAAGTAAGGGGAGCTAAATTTTGACGAGATGGAACTTTATTCCACACATAGAAATCTTCTTCCATGCGTTTCTAAAGTGCATCGAAGTAATCCGTCGTTAATTAAATGTGTCCTGATAGAATTATATTTTTACAAATGTGATTTTTTAAATACAAAATTAAGTATCGGTGAATATTTAATTTTATGTTTAACAACATTTTTTTTGCGATGATTTTTGTGAAGAGTACAATAAATATTAAACATAATATTTTACAACACAATACTCTTTTATCACCGTCATATGATAAAAGTGAAAACAAAAAGAAAATTAATTTTCTATATAAAGTTTTATTTAATTAATAAAAATCAATTAATCATTGTTGGAATATTTCTCAATTTTTCATAACTTTTATGACAAAGTTATCAAGTTTATGCTGCAGGAAAATTAATACAATATGTTCGCATAACTATTTAAATTATCTGGAACGCTTGCCTTATAAATCTCAAAAACTTTAAATTTCAAAAACCTGGGTAGCAGTTAAATATCGAATGTTTTATTGACAAACACGTGTGCGTAATTTGCTAATTGATCCTTCCACGTGATACAGCTGCAGGATTCTGAGCATAATTGCAACATACGTTAATACATACAACTACCGCTGTACAACTACTGGTACCACAATAATGAACACGTTAAGATAGGCGAAATCTCGCTGTGTAATTAAGAGACGCAGTGTTGGGTGGCCCGCAACCTTGACTCTTAATTGGACGCTGATTGCGAGCCTAATTCTTCCTATCCTTTCGAAATATCTTTCGCGTCCGATCGCGTTATAGGTGTATCGTTTGTAAAAGCCGATTCTCTATAATGGTCCGTAACTAAAATTACTTATATACATGCAATCTAATTCTCATTTCCTGAAAGAAAGAAATATTCCTCACAAATTCTCAGAAAACAACAAATTATTTTTTTAATGACGAGCTTGTAATCATGATTCTACGTCGGCTCTATAATTATAACAGCATTTACAACACAGATAGAATAATTTTGCTAAAGTTTATCTAAAAATTCACACACAAATATAGATTTGAAAATAATTTTACTAAACCAAAATAAGATAATAACGAAATTGAGATTTTTTAATTCTATTTTTTATATTTAGTCGTATAATTTTGTAACACATAATAAAAAAAAATCAATATGTTATGAAGTGAAGCATAATTAAGACTATTTTGAAAGAAAAGATAATACACATTGCAGTGTTTCTTTGCAGCATGAGATTTAGAATCTGTAACTGGAGGTGTTTTTCTTCGGATAATAATCCTGCGATACACCGTATCTCTCGTTGTACTTTTTATGAAGAGAAAATTGTTTGCGATTTATTGCGACATTTTTAAATTACGATCCGTGAATATTGGGAAAGATTATGCTAATCGGTAATAATGAATAAGCAAGACGCGGGGGAAGATATTTATGGTCCTCGTTAACGCTAATTGCACTTATTAATTTTATGGTCGTTGTTCACGATTATTTCTTTTGTCTCTCAAACCGACATTGAATCAATATGATATATCGTTGTTGTTATTGCCTTTATTGTTTTATAGTTTTATAGCATTGTTTTGTAGTAAAGTCACGACTATCTAAATTGAAAGAAAGATCTTTTTTAGCAAAAATTGTAACCATCTAATATTGAAAATGGCTCCATTAAAATCTTTACTTATTTAATAATTTGTTATATTTGTTATATCTTTTAGAATTGAAATAATACAAGCAATTTTAGGAAAAAAATTTTTTATAAAAAAGCAGAGACGATGGTAATAATAATATTTTGTTCTTGCGTATTGTAATGATTTGAAGAAAGATTTTTGCCAAATGTCAATACGTAGGAAAGTTAGATCTTATTTCCTGATTTGCTAAGAAGAAACTTCCCACGCATTGATTGATTCCGTTAACTCATCTCACGTATAACTTCTGTTTGGGCTACTGATTGGCATAACTGAGCGTTAGGATCAACCCCGCCTTTCATGCGAAGGCGTATGATAGAATAAATTAATTTGTCTGTACCTAAAAAGGCCGCCTGATGGACAACTTTTATCTCGCTGTACGGTGAAAGGGCCGAGATCGTGTTGCGCAATAATTAGCAGACGGCTACAAATGATCGTCAAACATTGAGAAGGGAACGATCGCCGCCGCACTTTGTGTGGCTCTTTTTGCTGACATGCCGACATTTCCCCGCGGCAAAAGAGGAGGAGTTAAGATGGTGACTGACCGTATGAAATTCATTAGTACTCTTAATGGAGTCTTGAAAATGCAATTTAATATATATTTTGCATGCGAAAGAAAACAGAAAATCGATTACGCGGGAAGGTATGTTACGATAGTTAACGAAGTATCTTCCATAACAGTCCAAACGTGATTAATAATTCTTAAAAATTGAATATAGAAGAGGAGGAGTTGTAATAAAGCCGGTCTCCGTCGTTGCAGAAAATTCATTAGTATTCTTAAAGCAATGTTGAAAAAGAAAATATTTAATATGTTCCGCAATATACAAGAACGCGGGGTAAAATATTACATGAATCGCTAATGAAGCATTTTCTATAACAATGCAATAATTACTAAAATTAATAAAACATTTTGGATTTGTGTCGTTCAGAACTGAACATTTCTTAATGTTTACTGCAAGAAAAAATAATTTTCAATAATTAAAATAATGTAACATCTTAATAATATTTGGAAAAAACAATTTTGTTGAAATATCTCAAATTTAGCTACTCTCTTGTAGATATAAATCTGAAAATAATTTTGTTTTGATTAAAATAATTACGTAAGATGTCAAATTGGTTGCTAAAATGTTATACCTTTTTGCAGTGTGTTTATCAACGCTCATAAACTTCGTACATAATTATTTTGATGATCCAACAAAATTATTTTTAAGTCCGTATCTAAATTAGTTAAATTTTTAGATACTTCAGCAAAACGTGCTCTTTCCGTGTATATTTATAAGTTACAAGTATCAGAATCAACATATTTATGATATCGCATGCTGTGCCACTTGTGCGGATCACCAAAAAGAGAAATGATTCTGTCGAAGGATCACGGAAGGATCAGACTGCGCGTCGAACCGCCTCCCTCGAATAGCATCGGAATGAAACCGACGAGTTATCGCCCGTCGTAGATCGACGCCACCTCTAACCCTGCCGATGAGGTATCGAACGTGAAAAGGAGCAGCGAATGGTACTCACGTCGAGCGACTGAAGCTCCAATCCTTCATTGTTCACGGATTAACGAGTCAAGTTGCCGTCGTCTCTCAAACGCTTGCTCGAGGTCCTCGAACCAGCGCACACGCCGTTTTCTCCTTCGGCCGGGTGAATGAATCATCTTCCTGGGGCAAGCAGGAATGGAACGGGGAGAAAGTGAGAGACGAGACGAAGTCACGAAAATAATACCTCGTAGGGTGGAAGATCGCTTCTCGTGAAGGCGGACTTGTTCCTTTTTCCTATTCATGGACCGGACCTTGCGAGATCGCGGATGATGTATACATATGTTACACGACGAGACACAATCGTGGTTTTTTTACCCGGGTTTTATGACCGTACGCGCAACATTGTGCGTTATTGGATCGCTATGAATTGAGAATGCGAGACGCTTTTGAATTAAGCAATAATGTAGAGTTCCAAGTTCTTCGTAGCCATAAAAACATGAGGAGCAACATAAGCGTTTATCTTTGCTCTTTTCGTCTCAAATTTACGCTGCAATTGAAGAAAAAAATATTAATATTTAATTTAGGAATAATTGAATATTTTTATTCCGGCGAGGAAATGTGTGTTGTTGTAAAATATTGTTTTTTATGGATATTATTTAACATATTTTTTTTTTTTAATAACTCTTAGTACTCTCGAGAGTAGCTAAATTTTAGATATTTCAACAAAATTGTTTTTTCCAAGTATTATTAAGATGTTACATTATTTTAATTATTGAAAATTATTTTTTCTTTCAGTGAATATTAAGAAATGTTCAATTCTTTATTAATCTTTAAATATACAATTTCATCAAAAATCTGTAATAAAAAAGCTATATTTTTGTAGTGAGTAAAATTTTATTGTTATTGAGAAATACTTTTATAATAAGTAACTTAACGTATTTATTTTGTTTAGTACTTATTTGTTTGGGGTTTCTACTTACTTTCTTCAAAAAATTATGATTAAATCCATATCTATAACATTCTCAATTACTAATCGGACAACAATAATACACGATATATTGATAATAGTGATTTTAATTGATGTAAAAAAATGTACATTTTGTATAATCATTTATATAAAAGAAATAAGATGACTACTTCCGGATTAAATATCATG